CCTGTGACTGCCCACGTGGTATCCGTGAGGCGGAGGTAACCGGCGACCATCATGGTGTAAATCTGTGATCACAGTGCTGCAGTAAATGTGACTGGCGTGCATATGTATGGATTTATGAATTATACTTATGGATGTGAAATGCTGCTGGTGATTGTGTTTGTTTAATGTATTGGAATGTTCTGGAGTGAGACTCTACATTTATTGTGTGTTTTTAGGTAGTGTAGAGTACTCACCCTTACATTCATTTTTCAGGTAATCAAGACGATCAGTACCGAGCTCAGTGAAGGGACGAATAGACTGCTATAGGACTTAGAATTTATTTTGAAAACCTTGTAATTGAACTAGTCTTGTAGCAATAATTTGATATTAACTTGTAATCCTTCACTTATTTCGAAATCTTTTATGAAAATTTGGTTATTCAATTTGCGAAATTATTATTTAATTGAAGTTAAATTTAAGGTGTTACAATTCCATAGCCATATTATTTGTTGAGACATTATCAATAGTGATTGGAGAGACATTCTCAAGTCCCTAATCTTGTAAAATTTCTTTGACATGATTCCTACCTACCCTAATGTTTCAACATTATGATTTTCAACTACAAAAAGTGTGATTACCCTTTTACGATACTTTAAATCATTGTTAATATTATGAGTTGTGAGCATAACAAACTCTTTCTTACAATAGAAATACCCAAAAACATAAAATTGTTCCACAAAATTTAAGTTAATTCCTACTTTTATCTTAGTAAATCATTCTCACATAGTCTATCATATGTATGGTTGATGAACGAAAGATTTGTCGCGAATCCTCATCAAAATATAAACAGAAATTAATGTAATACTAGGGTGCTAACCTAGATCGTCTCCCATGAATCATTGGATGAGTAACCAAATATGAAACATATGGTGTGCAGTGTATTCAAAAAGCAAGTAAACAAGGAGGTTTTGTGATTTCAAGATCAATGTAAAAAGTAAGAAACAAAATTATAAAGTTCAATCAATAAAAAGTGGTAATCCCTAGTTCATTTATGTAGATTCTATCCCTATTCCTCTCAAGATTTAATACTCTTCCTCTCCTTCCAGAATTAGGTTAATTTAACAAACAAAAATCAACTTTATATTTCCATACGAATTAAGCAATTAAATGAACTCCAATCTCTCATCTCAAGATTACGCAACCTTAGAAATAAACCTAGAATTAAGCAATTCAAGTTTAGAATCTAATTAAAAGAAATTAGGGTTAATTAAGTAATGTCTCCCTCATTCAACCATTAATTCAATTCAAGAGATTAGGAAGAAGAAATTCATGAAAAAAAAGGAATTATATTAACATTCAAAACCTAGGAATTCAAGAATCCATATGAACTCACTAGAGATTACAAGAAAATTACCCCTCCATAAGGATGAGTGTCACAATTACAAAATGAAAGTGAAGAGAAATCAATAACATCAATGCAAAAATCAAAGAGAAGTAAGGAGAAAATAGAAATCAAACCCTAGGTTGGACCCTTGGCTATCACCTAAGGCCACCCTAGGCTCTCCCAATAGTATCCTAAAACCCTAAAAAATCTAAAGGAAAAGGTTTTGTAAAAGTTCTCTCACCCTAAATGGTAAAAATCTATATATAGAAAGGTTGATGCCTTCAGAGTAGTTACTCTCGTTCACGACAGTAAACACTCTCGAGCATAGTAATTACTATCGTTTACAAGAGCAACTAAGCGCGAGCATAGTGATTACTATTGTTTACAAGAGTAAACACGTGCAGGTCTGGGTGAAATTGGCTTTCTCTCGAGTGTTCACTATGGAACCAGAGTGTCTACGCGTAGGTCATCTAGCAAACTAGGGTCTTTGTAGTGTCCACTATCACTCTGAAAGTGATCACTTTGGTCTGCCCTCTGGATCTAGCTTGCTGTAGTGTCCACTTTCACTTTTGAAAGTGATCACTTTCAACTCAAAAATTCTCAAAGGCTAAAAATTCATGGAATAAGCCTAGAAATTCCTGCACAATTATTCAAATGATCAAAATTGCAAATTATATCTATGTAATTCAATGTAAATTAACCAAAAATTAAGAAACCTATGATATTTGACCAAAATAATGTTTTTATGTTATTTACACTTCATAAGTCTACTTTTTCTATTAAGGAACACTAAAATGACAAGTAAAAATCCAATAAAATGTGGATTGATCAATGGTTCAAGCAAACACCCTTTCAAGATACAAAAAACTTGTCAAACTTTAACTCATTAATACATCTCATACCACATTAGCTCGCAAGATAAATGTTAAATCATTAACAAGTATCATACTAATTTAGTAAAATCTCAAAGAATTACACATCCAAGATCTCTAATATAGAACCTATGAGGTTCTAAGTGTGAGTAGAAATCTCCTTATGTAAACATGATCCGACTGATATAACTGTGTTTCTAAGCATAGTAATCATGCTAACAAAATGTTTCCATAGTCCTCATGTACACTTATGCCCCTAGACGTAACATCTAAAATTTGAAAAACAAAAATAAACAAGAGGTTGAGATTTTTCAAATGTTCATAAAATAGTTAGGATTTGAAAGAAAGGAAATAATACATAGATGGAAATCTAAAATTGAATTAGTCAACATCATATAAAAAATGATATTTATAAGCACACATATCATACTTCTTTGATTCAAGACCATGATGCATGGAACTTATGTATATGTTAACTCTTGGTTTGGCCTAAAATCATTTATCATACTTATGCAACTCTGAGATCCATTTCTCATCTTCAGAAGTTGTTGACAGTTTCACTAGCTAGCCAAATATTTATATCATTGTAGGGACTTGAACCTCTAACCATTGCAACTAGCTCCATTATCAAAATATGTCTCAAGAGTAAGTACGGATGAAAAAGCATCACAAAGAGACTCACAATCAGAGCCATATGTCAAGGTCATTCATAGAACTTTGTGTGAATCTCAAACTCTAAGTATCCCCTATGTCATCGTAGCACCCCTCTCGCATCACATCCTAATACAGTAATTTCTTTTTCACAAAGGAGAGACATTGATAAATGCTTTCTATACTTGATCCTACATTGTAATTCATGAATGATAATTGAGAGTTTTAAGCTATTCATTGAGAAAATTTACTATTATTAATTTCATTTTATTCATATTTCAGAAAAAAAAAGATCTTAAAAGATATTGGGAATTGAAACACACAAAGAACTAGAGATATACATGGGCAAGTACACGCCCGTTTATATGAGCGTGTATCTCACTAGTCGCGTCAATTGAAGTGTATCATCAAAATCAGAGATGTACACGGTCAAAATACATGGGCGTGTACTTTTCAACAAAGCTATGAAGTACAATTTTTAGAGACCAAAGATGTACACAGCCAAAGTACATGGCCGTGTACTTTTCAAGAAAGCTGTGAAGTGCAATTTTTAGAGTCCAAAGATGTACACGGCCAAAGTACACATGGCCGTGTACTTTTAACGTGCGTCAGAATTTAAATTTCTACAAGAAGATGAGCCCTTGGGCCACTCATATAAAAGGGAACTTGGCATAGAAACCTAGGGGACACGGTTTTGAGGAGAAAAAAAAGACTCAGAGACGGGTGGAGGAAGGGATCAAGCACTTTTATTCATCTCTTTTGTAATTTTAGTTTGAAGATGTTTAGGTTCTAATTTTCCTTTGAGTATCTAGACGTAATGAATCCTAATTGACCAAATTTTCTGGAATTCTTCTAATGCTATTTCATGTTCTTTTCTCTTGAGTTTAATTGAGTAGTATCAATTGTCTTCCATCTTGTTTTCTTGTTTGAATTTGAGTAAAATTCTTACATTAAATTAACATTGCTCAATTAAAAGGACTTGAATGTATTTCTAGAGATAGAAAGACTTAGGATTAACCCTAATTATGGAATTCATAATGAACTTAATGCAACCTAAGGGTATTAATTAAGGAAGAGATTCCGATTGATCAACCGAGGGTTAGGAATCATTATCCTTAAGAAAGATATTGATTTAATTCAGAATTTCCTGCAGCGATAAGGGTTTGGAACTAAGTAGTTGAAGAAGAATTTTAGTTATTTGGACACTTAGGAGGATTTATAGTCTAGATACTCGCCTTTTCCCCTTGAATACCTTTAGTCATACTTTTCTATAATTTATTATCATAAGAAATCTGTTCCTTTTAATTTATTATTCTTCTATTTTTAGTAATTTTATCAACAAAAATTTATTTCTCATATTCATTAACAATTACGTAATTAAGGAAGTAATTCTTAATAACAGTCCCTGTGGATATGATACTTGGTACTCTATTTTTCATAATATTACTCTGACAACGGGTACACTTGCCTAGTAATCGGTTTTTACACACCAAGTTTTTGGCGCCGTTGTCGGGTACTAGTTATTTAGGATTTCTTTGATTACGTCTTTATTAATTTTCTTTATTTGTTTAATCTTAAATTAATTTTTCTATTTTTTATTATTATTATTATTATTTGCCTTTATTATTTTTAAGAAGCTGATTTTTCTGGTGCATGACCAGAACCCTATTATATTATTCGAACTTGACCTAGAGATAGAGAGAAGTTTGCAAAAAATTTGGAAAGAGAGACGACTGCTAGTACAGAAGCAAAACACACAAAACCACATGGAAGGAATGGCGAACAATGAAGATCAACCAAGGACCATGTCCGATTATGCTCGTCTATCATTAACTGGAACAAAATCTAGTATTGTCCGTCCGGATGTGCAGGGAAATTTTGAAATAAAGCCCAATGTTATTTAGATGGTTCAGCAATTTGTGCAATTTGATGGGTTGTAAGACGAAGACCCCAATGCTCACATTACAAATTTTCTAGAAATTTGTGATACTTTCAAGATCAATGGAGCTACTGATGATGCAATCTGCTTGAGGCTATTCCCATTTTCTCTCAGGAGCAGAGCAAAGCAGTGGTTGAATTCTCTCCCATGAGGATCTATCACTTCATAGGAGGCTATGGCAGAAAAACTCTTAGCGAAATATTTTCCTCCCGCTAAAACTGCCAAGATGAGGAATGATATCTCTTCCTTCTACCAGTTGGAGACAGAGATGTTATACGATACGTGGGAGAGGTTTAAGGAATTGCTGCGGAAGTGCCCACATCATAGGATTCCTAACTGGCTTCAAGTGCAAACCTTCTATAATGGGTTAAACTCAGCCACAAGACAAATGATAGATGCTGCAGCTAGGGGCACTTTGAATAGCAAGACACCAGGGGCTGCACAAAAACTGTTTGAAGAAATGGCAATGAACAACTATCAATGGAGCTCCACTCGATCCAAACCTTCGAAATCTGCTGAAATTTATAGTCTTGATGCAGTAACATCCTTGGCAATGCAAGTTGAAGCCTTAGGGAAGAAAATTTATGGTTTATCTGTTAACCATCCAGTTGCTCCGATGATGAGATGTGATATTTGTGGAGGAGGCCACCCTAATCATGAGTGTCGAGCTACTCAAGAAGAACATGCCAATGTGATAGGAAATAGACCACCGTACCAAAATTATAATGGCATGAATAACCCAGACTATAGGAACTATGCAAACCCATCATGGAACAACAACCAACAGCCAACGCGAAACAACACACCCTCACGATATCAACAAGCCCCACATCAACTACCACCCCTAGTTGAAAAGAAGTCAAACCTTGAGGAGTTGATGACCAAATTCATTCAATTTTCAGAATCTCGGTTCCAATCTACCGAGACAGCACTAAGAAATCAACAAGCCTCTATCCATAATCTAGAAATTCAGTTGGTTCAAATTTCTAGACTTCTCTCAGAAAGACCCCAAGGAAGCTTGCCTGGCAATACTGAGACTAATCCTAGGGAGCAGGTTAATGCAGTAACATTAAAGAGTGGCAGAACATTACAAGAGAAGGGGAAGCAAGAAACAAAAAAAGATGCAGTTGAAGAGGAGGATAAATGTCAAGAGGAGATTGTGGAAAAGCCCCCTGTAGTGAAAGAATTCATACCCCCACTTCCCTACCCAGCAAGATTGAAGAAAGACAAGGATGATGAACAATTTGGTAAATTTCTATCCTTATTTCGTCAACTTCATATTAATTTACCGTTTATTGATGCCTTGGCACAGATGCCCAAGTACGCCAAATTTCTGAAGGATCTACTGTCCAACAAGAAGAAATTGGAGGAGTTGGCCATAGTAACTCTGAATGAAGAATGCTCAGCAATTCTTCAAAACAAGATGCCCAAAAAATTAAAGGATCTAGGGAGTTTTACTCTTCCTTGTCTCATTGGTAGATTGATAGTTGATAGGGCTTTAGCTGATTTAGGTGCTAGCATTAATTTGATGCCATATTCTGTTTTTAAGAAATTAGGTTTGGGAGAACGTAGGTTAACTAGAATGAGTATTCAACTAGCTGATAGGTCAATTAAATATCCTAGGGGTATCATCCAGTATGTGCTTGTAAAAGTGGACAAATTTATTTTTCCTGTTGATTTTGTGATTCTTGATATGGACGAGGACACTGATGTCCCCTTGATCTTAGGTCATCCATTTTTAGCTACTGCAGGGGCTATAATTTATGTGAGGGATGGAAAGTTAATTTTGAGAGTTAGAGATGAAAAAGTCACTTTCAAAATTCCTGATGTGATGAAAAAGTCTTTGAAACAAGATGATTCTTGCTACTTTATTAATGTAATTGATGATTATGTTTCTGATTGTGCACATGAATTTTTTATTTCAAACCCATTGAAAAGAAGCTTAGTTCACGAAGGAGGAAACGATGGTATGAGCTTGCTAACTCAAGAACAGTGGTGTCATTTAGAAGCTACTAAGCCATTATGGAGAAAGATGAACTTTGAAGTTTTGGAGTGGAAATCAAAGAAGCAACCCAACCCATCCATTAATGAACCACCAGATGAAAAATTGAAGGTCTACCATCATAAAAAAAATCAAGGGAGGTAAACTATTTCAAAAAGCTGATATAGTAGTACTGTTGTACAACTCTTGCCTCGAATTATTCCCACTAAACTCAAATCTCGTTGCTCTGGACCGTTTACTGTGCATAAGGTATTTCCTTGTGGTATAATTAAATTAACTCATCCAGAAAAAGGAAATTTTAAGGTGAATGAACATAGGCTAAAACTGTACTAGGGGGGTCAATTGCAAACTTTTGCAAATGAGGAGTTTAAACTCCTCCATGTTAAATGTTGAATTACATTGAATAGTTTAGGTTAGGTAGGTTTAGTTTATTTTAATTTAGTTATATATTTGCTCATTTATTTATATTTTGAATAAGTGTCCTCGCCCACAGCATGAACCCTATCTCCTTCTGACCACTTTCTTAGTATAGATGATGAAGACTCAGATGATGCTAGTGCAGCAGTTTAGTCTGCAATTAGGATAGTCTTAGTTGTTGAATTTTTTTACTTATGTTATATTTAGGATTTAAATTGCTTTTGTCTGTTTATTGCTTCTGTTTCTTTATAGCATTACTTTGATTGTTCTACTCCTCTTGTCATTCTAAACTTAGTTAAATCTCCTTATAAATCATTTTTAATCAGGTTTCCTCTCCACTTGAATCCCAGATTAGCTTTGCTTCCCACGACTCTTTGCTTATTTATTTACTTTTCAGGGAAGTTTCAGTTGCACTTTAATTTTTATATTTGATTGAGGACAATGCAAATCTTACAATGTGGGGTGGATAATTATAGATGTTTGAACTGAATTGTTGTTTTATTCTCGAGCAATATTGAGTCAATTTTACTGTTGCATTAGAGATGATATTCCTGAAAATATAATAAATAAATAAACATCACATGCAGTTATTCTGATTATTCGAATTGTGTTTTTAATTGTTTCTCGATTGAAGTATCATTAGACTTTTCTGAATTGAGGACCTTGAATCTATGCCAAATTGTTTAAAAATGTTTGAAATTAATAAAACCAGGAAAATCTAAAAAAAATTAGGGCTCTGCTCAAAAATAAAAAAAGAGCATGCCATAGAAGCATATCTAGTTGAATGTGAATTGCAGGCAATATCCGAATACCACATCCTAGAACCCCAAAATTGTTTGAGGTACCGATGTGGAAAGAAAGGGGTGGAATTTCTATTAATACCTTGTGCTAACTGGGATGGAGCATAAAATGCACCCTGTTAGTCGATCATGGCTCAAAGTGAAGAGAATTAAACAACACCTTGTGGAAGGATTCAAAGTTTTGAATTGAATTTTAAGAGCTAATGGTAGAGAGGTCCTTATTCAGTTCTGTCTAAAGTTACAAAGGTTGAGAGCAAAAAGAAGGCATAATTTGATGTTTAAGAATTACTGTCCCTCTAAAAATTTGAAAAATAAAATAAAAATAACAATAATAAAAAATTCAGGAATTTGATTCTTTGTTGTCAAGGGTAAAATTGATCCATTTCTTTGCTTGGGGACAAGCAATCGTTCAAGTTCGGGGGAAATTGATAAATGTTTTCTATACTTGATCCTACATTGTAATTCATGAATGATAATTGAGAGTTTTAAGCTATTCATTGAGAAAATTTACTATTATTAATTTCATTTTATTCATATTTCAAAAAAGAAAAGCTTAAAAGATATTGGGAATTGAAACACACAAAGAACCAGAGATATACATGGGCAATTATACGCCCGTGTATATAAGCGTGTATCTCATTGGTCGCATTAATTGAAGTGTATCATCAAAACCAGAGATGTACATGGTGAAAGTACATGGCCGTGTACTTTTCAAGAAAGCTGTGAGGTACAATTTTTAGAGACCAGAGATGTACACGGCCAAAGTACATGGCCGTGTACTTTTAACGTGCGTCAGAATTTAAATTTCTGTGAGAAGATGAGTCCTTGGGCCACTCATATAAAAGGGAACTTGGCACAGAAACCTAGAGGACACGATTTTGAGGAGAAAAAAGACTCAAAGACGGCTGGAGGAAGGGATCAAGCACTTTTATTCATCTCTTTTGTAATTTTAGTTTGAAGATGTTTAGGTTCTAATTTTCCTTTGAGTATCTAGACGTAATGAATCCTAATTGACCAAATTTTCTGGAATTCTTCTAATGCTATTTCATGTTCTTTTCTCTTGGGTTTAATTGAGTAGTATAAATTGTCTTCCATCTTGTTTTCTTGTTTAAATTTGAGTAAAATTCTTGCATTAAATTAACATTGCTCAATTAAAAGGACTTGAATGTATTTCTAGAGATAGAAAGATGTAAGCTTTTTGTATTAGGATTAACCCTAATTATGAAATTCATAATGAACTTAATGCAACCTAGGGGTATTAATTAAGGAAGAGATTCTGATTGATCAACCGAGGGTTAGGAATCATTATCCTTGAGAAAGGTATTGATTTAATTCAGAATTTCCTGCGGCAATAAGGGTTTGGAACTAAGTAGTTGAAGAAGAATTTTAGTTATTTGGACACTTGAGAGGATTTATAGTCTAGATACTCGCCTTTTCCCCTTGAATACCTTTAGTCATACTTTTCTATAATTTATTATCATAATAAATCTGTTCCTTTTAATTTATTATTCTTCTATTTTTAGTAATTTTATCAACAAAAATTTATTTCTCATATTCATTAACAATTGCGTAATTAAGGAAGTAATTCTTAATAACAGTCTCTGTGGATACGACACTTGGTACGCTATTTTTTATAATATTACTTTGACAATGGGTACACTTGCCCAGTAATCGGTTTTTACACACCAGACATCCACATCCATTGCTATCTGAATTGTTTGTTTCTCTTTGTAATTCAATCTTTATATTGCACACACAGGCACTACTTCATTTCAAGATCAATATCTAATTTCATTTTTCATCACACACACAAATGTTGGCTTAACTTCATAATTAACATCCTATATTCAACTATTTAAATAATTTTTATAAGAGATTGACATATACACATACCAATGCTTACAAGCACATCTACTAAGGGTCCCTAGCTTTCTCACTTTCCATGATTTTCTAACTTTACCCCCTAGATTGTGTATTACTCACCATTCAAAAGATGTTAGATTTTTACAAACATTTACTTTTATTAACTTAGTTATTAAGATGTAATTATGAATTCAAAGTTCGAGGCAAGTAAGAGGCTAGACTTAATATTGTAAATATACTTACTGTTTGAAGGACAAGTGTATCCATCGAGAAGTAATAAAGGGTACTTAAATTAAGTTCCCGGATTATCGTCCCACAAGGATTGATTTTCAATTACTAAGAATTTTCTCATTCAATTGTTTAAGCTTCAAAGATACAAAATAAATTAAAAAACAAGAATTTGTAAAATCAATTATAAAACTAAAAGCAAGGAATACAATGCACGTCGTGGTTAAACTTATCGGAGAGGAACCTAGGGCATATGGGTTTTTTCATTCAATCATTTATGTTATTTTTCTGTTTAACTTTAAATCCGATTTCCTTGTGATTACCAATCCTTCATACGAATACTATTAATACCCAATGGTCATGTAATATTAATATTCTTCTCTAAATTAACATCCCCAATGGTCATGCAAGACATAAATACAAGAAAGCTTTAGGAGCTTACGAACTTGTTAATTTAATAACGATTAGAAGAGAAAGATTGGTTTGGTCCACCTAATCCTTTGTCTCGTTTTACCCTATAGATCTATTAATTAACCGAGGTATGGTCGTATGACGATATAATGAATTAAGATTAAGAAAGAAATGCAATAGGATAAAATCTAATCACAAAGCGGAAATCAAATTTAGATTCAAATATCAAAATTCCATAAATTCATGAACAATAGTTCCTATAACCCTATCCATGGACTTAGTTACTCATGCTAAAGAAAAGAACTAAAACAACCATAAACAAAGTTATAATAAAAAAAATAGCAAACTAGAGTATGAGATGTGTTTCTGGTCTTCAAGTATGATCACTTGAAGCTCCAAGTCTCGCCAAGCATGTGCCAAGGATCGTGTGTAAGAGAAACGAGATCAAATGTATTTTAGAGCCAAAGTCAAGATGTCAAAACGGTCCCTCTACAATGCCTGAGATCTTCCCTTTTATAAGATTTAAAAACCCTAAAAACTATTCATAATTGGGCTTCCCATAGATGGCGCGGCAGTGCAAGGCCTTAAGCACGACCGTGCATGGGCTCAAAGTACCCCCGTGCTTATTAAATGGGTCTGGGCATGCTGACTACTGCGAAACTCTAATCTTCCATCAATTTGGGCCTAGAATGCACTCAAAATCTACTTGCGGCCTCTTTATACCAAACTGCATAATTAATATATAAATTAGTGTAAAACCTAAATAAAATAAGGGTCAAATATGAATATATGGGCTACAAAAGAGGGCCTAATTATAGACTTATCAACTCTCCCATACTTATTTGTTTGCTTGTCCTCAAGCAAAGTGCTGGTTAAAAGTAACATAATAACTTAAAACATAATACCATACAAGAAACCTAAGATGAGGAGATAAAAAGAGCAACAAGAGTAATATCACTGAGCATAAGCAATCAAAAGGATTCCCAATTAGAATCTTATATTTCCATACTTTTCACTCAAAAATCAAACTAAGGTACTCTACTTTTCTCTCTCACTAAGGGACAAAATAAGATATCACTCAATTCTCCTAAAGAAGAGTGTACTACCATAGTCTTGACTATGAACCAACTCTCCACTAAATAAATTAAATGCAGTAAAAATCGTGAGGTCTTTTTAGGTTATAATGTGCCAAGGGGTTATAATAATTAAGGTGAGACAAATGAAAGAAAGGGGATATACAAAGGGGTAATAAATTATAAAAATTATAAACATCCCCTAAGTTTACAAATGAAGCTCCTGGAGTAATTTTTATATTCTTGAATATAAACAATATCTTTACTCCTTTCTCCTTCAATCATATATAACCCTTTTTCATTTCTTTTTTTTTTTTTCATTTTCTTTTTCATATTCTTTCTTTCTTTTTGCACATGAGAGATATAGAGGAGAATTTAACAAACAATTCAATAACTCAATTGCTCCATTCATAAACTCAAGGTCATCAAAACATTTTATAAATTTAATGCAAGGGACCAAGAAAATCAATAAAGCTCAAAGTGGACAACTAGTTGTATCTCAAACGTGGTGAAGGCCAAGAATAAAAATCCTATTATGCCTCAACCATATTAAAAACATGCAATTAAAAAGAGGAGTCTTAAGTCGGTTCCAAGTCAAGTTCTAGAGCACAAATCATAAGGAGATAATCACACAAAACAATGAGGAAAGGGGTATAATTAATTAAATTAAGATAAAAATTCTCTTTAAGGCTCAATACTCACATCTGTGGGTTAAAATTTAATGTAGAGCATAAAAGTAAGGAAGTTAGCTAATTATTAGTTTTCAAATAAAAGTATAATGCCAATAATAATCACTTAACATGCTCTTCTATCTAGATACTTTTCAAATTTAATGTAGAAAAATTAGGTTCCATGAGGGAAAAATTTTTAAATTATCATAAAAAATAGAATAGATACTTTACTCAAGAACATGCAATAACAATCATATAATTAGGAACTACTCCTCCATACTTAAAGTAAAACATTATCCTCAATGTTTGAAAGCAATCAAATTAAAAGCATGCAAAGAGGGCAATTGAATAAAAAGGAAAGAGATTCCCTAAT